GAGTGTGAAACATGTTTGTAACTGAGTGTGAAACATGTTTGTAACGGAGTGTGAATCATGTTTGTAACTGTGTGTGAAACATGTTTGTAACTGAGTGTGAAACATGTTTGTAACGGAGTGTGAATCATGTTTGTAACTGAGTGTGAAACATGTTAGCAACGGAGTGTGAAACATGTTTGTAACGGAGTGTGAATCATGTTTGTAACGGAGTGTGAATCATGTTTGTAACGGAGTGTGAATTATGTTTGTAACGGAGTGTGAAACATGTTTGTATCGGAGTGTGAAACATGTTTGTAGCGGAGTGTGAATCGTGTTTGTAACGGAGTGTGAAACATGTTTCACACGGATGCAACTGAGTGTGATAGAAGTTGGCATAGGGTGTAAAACATGTTAGTAGCAAAGTTCGAAACATGTTTGTATTAGAGTTCGAAGCAAAAGTAATGTAATGCATCATAAGTTGAAATGTAGGTATTTGTTATCCATTATACGTACGTGCAAATCAAGCCTGAATTTCTACTCGGCAAACAACTCTTTTATTTTGCGAGATTACACAGCAATCTTGTTTTTATAAAAAAAGCTATTTTGGCATATCGCCCAAGCAACGTCGCTTTTCAAAGCAATCCTGTGTGCATCAGAAACAGGAAATTTAGGCATGAGCCATGAAACGGTCACGTTTCAAAGCCAGGGTTGGCGATTTTTTTGATTTTTTTTTTTAAAATCAAAAAAATCAAAAATCAATGATTTTTTTTATTTTTTCATGATTTTTTTGATTTATTTAGCCTGAAACGGTCACGTTTCAAAGCATTCATTTAATTACGTATTAGAAACAGGAAATTTTAGCATGAGCCTGAAACGGTCACGTTTCAAAGCATTCATGACGCATTAGAAACAAGTAATTTTGGCATGAGCCTGAAGCGGTCACGGATCGACGAGAGAAAATCATTCGAGAAATTGAGTGCCCGGAACTAGGGCGAAAAATAGCGGCATCATGGACGATTTTCAAAGCAATTGCGTGATGATGGATTAAGGTTCGGACTTGACTGTTAGAAAACAGAAGAAAATAAATCATAAAAAGAAAGTTGGGGAAACATAAACACAATTTATTTTTATTTGTGCCAATGGTACTGCAGTATAATGGAATTATTAGTTGACAATATTATTAGGTTATATGATGTGCAGTGAAATAATGTTATAAAATTTTGCCTTATCATTAATTTAACATCTTATAAACTACAAAATTGAATGAGATGCTAGGCAAGCCTTTAGTTGCACAAAGGAAAGTCCGAGTAACTTAAATTATGGCTTATTAAAAGAACGTCAATGTTTGAGAAAAAGAAAATATGATCGCGTGAAGATAATCGTAATACAAATGATAACGATGATAATGATTCGAATATATAAGTGACTCCAACAATAATATTTCAGGGATGGTACAAATTTTGATAATTTTTTTCATACGTTTAACGATTAACTAGTTATGAGTTAATAATCATTAACGAAGTGTCTTTGCAGCTGTGAACAATACAGTGATACTGTGAAAAACAACGATAAGTTGATGTTGTAAAGTTAGCATAACGTTGATAGAAGTTGCAGAGTCAGGAAATCGTTGAGTTAAAGTTAAACCTTAGGACACTGGTAAGTTGAAGTTTTGAAGTTAGGACAACATTGAGTTAAAGCTGTAAAGCTAGAGCAAAATCAAGTTGAAGTTGTAAAGTTCTGAACATTATAAGTACAGTTATAAATTTTAGAAAATTTTAAACTGAACTGAAATTAGTGCAACGTTAAGTTGAAGTTCTGAAGTTAGTACGACATCACGCTGAAGTTATGAAATTAAGAGAACGTCAAGTTGAAGTTATAAAATTAGGAGAACATCAAGTTGAAGTTTTAAAGTCATTTCAACGTTATATGTGAAATGGCTTTTCGTAAATGTAATGAATGACGTTGAAACAGTTGTACATTAAAACCGTCCTGTATTGATACAGCATCGCGATCTATGACGGGCAGTTCTTAGTTGTGATGGCGTAGTGCTTATTATCATTATCACATTTAAACTGAATTGTGGCAGTATTGCGTCAAAATATTATAAAATTAAGATATAGATCGTTAAGATAGTCTTGTGTTAAGTCAGTATTGCGTTAAATAAGATTACGTATAAATAGTATTAGTATAAGAAAGTGTTCATTAAGAAAATAGAAAAAACATAATGTTAAGATAGTATTACGTGAGGGCTTATTTGAGTTGAGACAGTTTTTTTGTAAAAACCGTATTTTGTTAACACAGACTAGCGTTAAGACAGTATTGCATTAAGATAGCCTTGCATTAATTGAGGCAATTTAACGTAAACAGTATTGCGTTAAGATAGTGTGGAGTAAAGAAAATATTTCGCTAAGACAGTATTAAGCCGAGACGGCATTAGTTGAGAAAGCATTTTGGTTAAGACAACACTTCGTTGCTTCATTAAGACAGTATAACGTTAAAACAGTCTTGCGTTAAGACAGTCATACATTTCATATTGTTAAGATAAACAGTATTACGTTGATACGGAGTTGCGCTGAACAGTATTACGATAAGACATCATGAAGCTGAGATTGTGCTACGTTAATATATTATTGCTTCTTAATTCATAATGTTGAACAGTGTTTCGTCACAACAGTGACGAAACATTTAATTAATTAAGATAGTATTGGGCCAGAACAGAATTCCAATAAGATAATATCGAGTTAAAATAGTATTGTGTTATTATTATATTGGATTTACACAATATAGCTTTAATAATACACTGTTTAGTCAATTCATTGGTTAGTCATGACAGTATCGAGTCAAAGCATTGTTGAGTCAAGACAGTGTTAATTCAAGACAGTGTTCTGTCAATTTATTAATTAGTCCAGACAGTGTTAAGTCAAATCATTGTTGAGTCAAGACAGTGTTAAGTCAAGTCATTGTTGAGTCAAGACAGTGTTAAGTCAAGTCATTGTTGAGTACAGAAGCTGCCGCGTCTGTAAATTTTCACTGGGTAACAAAATTTAGAGTCGCCCCAGCTTCTAAAATCCAAATCAGAAGCTGCCGCGTCTGTAAATTTTCACTGGGACGTGATGCGCGCTTCTGGAAGAATGTTATTAGATAACGAGGAAAGCGAGGGAAGAAATTAATTGGATTATTAGAAAATTTCACGGAAAATGAAAGATTGAGGTTTGTTGCCCGAGGTAAATGAGTATGACGGTAAAAAAAATCGAAATCATGTCCGCGAGAAAAAGTTTTCTTTTTAGAAAAAAGTGAATTGTGTTCGCTTTCATGACCAAGTCGAAATCATGTCCGCGAGAAAAGTTTTCTATTAAAAAAATTGATTTCGTTTTCAAAAGTTCATTGACTGAAGACGGGCGTTGACTATGAAAGATTACATATTTTAAGGGAAGAAAAGTTGGGCACGGGAAACGAACGGAAATGAGACACAAATTAATCTATTATGAAAAATTTTCAGTTTGAGCGAAGAATGACAAAAAAAGAGTTTGACTACAAGTCTGATAAAAGTTTTGATGCAAGAAAATTTTATTAATTACGAAGGTAAACTGGATAAACCAGGTTTTTAATAGAAATGGTAAAATTTTTTCACCGGCCCAGCAAATATTTTTTGAAGATGACTTTTTTTGAAATCTTACAGATATTTGTCAAATTTTGTTTTGAGGTTGTTTATGTGTTTGAAGCCAGCCGTCACAAATGTGTATGAGCGAACCAAGGATTCGCTTGTCCATGATACTGATTGAGTTGGGACCTAAACCTGAGAATTGCCTTAGTTGGAAAATAGGAAAGGATTGGATCCAAAATTGAAATTTGATTTTGTAATCGATAATTATAAATTGAATTTAAAAACGACGCAGAATAGTTTTATGTACATCAAATGGTCCCATCTTCTATGTTAAATGTGCGTTCGGAAGGTAATGACGGGAATCGAATTCCAATGTAACAGGAATTATCATGCCCTGGCAACGCTTGATTAACCTGATATTTGAATGATAGGGCGTGATCTCAACTAAAATTAGGAGGAATAATTTAACTACGTCATTACTTCAAATTTTTATCATTCAAATCATCGTTACTATTCAAATTATTCATTGACTGGTACAGGGAAAGAAAAAGAATGAAAAAATATCTGACGTGAGTAAAAACGAAAAAATAAACTCAATCTAATATTTGGTATGGAAAATAATTAAAAATTTGAATGGAATTACAAGTTATCCTACAGAGGTGTGAAAAATTACTCAAAACGATTGACCTTTTATGAAAATGCAATCCACGAACCAGTGGAAAAATGCCAAATTGATTGAAGAATTAAGATTTTCATAATTTCACCTTTTTTGTTTTTTCAAGTTTTTCAAGTTTTTTCCACGTGCATCAGCACAGCTATCCTCGGAACATGTTCACTATGAAATGTACAAATAAAAATCTCAGCCTCCGACTTTATTTACAGAACAAAGTTATTCAACTTCGTGAACATCATTCGCAAACGTTCCACGCGAACACATGAGAACATAATGAACGGAAATGCTAACGGATGAAAAAATTAATATCAACGCGCCTGAAGACGTATAAATAATTAATGTGTCTAATAACGGGAGGAATACATTAAAGAGAATATTAACCGCAATACCGCAGGGAGGAGAAAATAAAGCTTTACGATTTTTTTATCGCTTCAGTGAAGACGATTTACTTTTATGGCTGCAGGGCCGCAACCGCGATCTTTTCCCCCAGCAAAATATGGACTTCTTTCTTGTCAACGATTTTATCGTTACGATTAATAACCATGCGTCACCGATATCGTTACCATATACGATCATGAGTCACTGATATCATCGTTACCATGTACGATCATGCGTCACTGACATCATCGTTACCATATACGATCATGCGTCACTGATATCATCGTTACCATATACGACCATGCGTCACTGATATCATCGACGCAGCCATATATGATGACGTAGAGGCAGGTGTGACGACGTAGACATTATGATGACGTAGAGGAAGGTTTGTCGTAGCCCTTGAAGACAACTGAACAGTTATCGATGACGTCATCGGTTGTACCGCCGCGGTTGCCCTGCCGTCGCTGAGGTATATAAGGCGCCGTCGAGAGAGAAAGCTTCATTCAGTGCACTCGGCTCAAGAAGTGAACACCTGCATTTGCTGCTGCTGCTCACGGTGCATTTACTGCATTTACTTGGCTTCCCTGGTCTTTGTTTTGTCTTTATATAAATATTCATTATAAAATAATCCCGTTTGGTTGGAAAAATTTCCCATAACAAGTTCAAAGCAGGAGATTGTATTCAAAGGTTATAGAAGTCAGGTTCACTTTGCAAACTTCATCTTTTAAAAGTAAGTATAACAAAAAGATTTCTAAATTTGTCGATATATGATATGGCAATTTTAGATAACATTTATCTACATTCATGTTGGTTCATGAATACGATTGTCATTCTGAACTGCATCTCTATTGATTTAAGTATGCAAGTAAATGCAGCGATGGAATATTAATCTTAAGACCTTAAACTACAAATTTCGTTGTTGTGATGTTTAAATGATAATTCATTTAATGCGAAGATAATTTGTCAATTATTCACCAGCACGCATACCAATCCTACATATGCCAATCACATCATCTTTATTCTACATCGCATAACATATATGTACTATATCAAATGTATTCTATATCAAATATCACATATATTTTCAATAATAGAACACGTACTGTATATCATAAATGCATTGTTTTGATATAGATATATGAAATAATATTACGATGAGAAATTTCGCCTGCAATTCGATTCAGCAAATCAACTAGAAAAGATCGAGCTTGGCTCCATGTTTAAGATCAAAGTAGACATTTATTACTTATTTTCAGTGCAAAAAGGAAGGACGAATTCTGTCTGAATATCCTATATTATAGGATGTTCCGACAGCATTCGTCCTTCCTTTCTGCATTGAAAATAAGTAAAAAAAATGTCTACTTTGATCCTTAAAATCACTGTCGCTAAAGGAAAGATGGAATTTTTCGAGAATTAAAATGTGATTACCTTATTGGTTTTATTATAGGTCCTATAATAAAATTAATAAGGTGGTCGAATTTTAATTCACGAAAAATTCCACCTTCCCTTTAGCGACAGTGATTCGAACAACTTGGAAATGCGTTCGAATTTCAACAAATAAAATTAGATGTCATTTCAAGATGCCCTGACTAGAATTCTGAGGGCACTCAACAATAACCAGGCAGAAACAATTAGAAATAAAGGCTTCCGATATCTTCATTTTTATCTTCTTTATTTCAGTTTTCTTAAACTGCGGAACAGAAAACGCCGAAAATAAATAGGAAGGCAAATATACAAAAAATATAAGTATATTTCCTTTACTTAAGGATTCAGGTTTAACTCGACATTTAAATAATAATGTAGCCAGATGTTTCAGACTACATCACTTATGACTGCAGGTTACTGAACTTACGTGAATGGCAGCCCTAGTTGGAAAACATGAGGTGGAATTCGGTCGCTTTAGATAAACAAAATTAGGTTACACTGGTGATAAATGGATAACAAAATTACGTTGCAAACGGTAATTACGATAACAAACAAAAAAAATTACGTTACACTGGTGATAAATGGATAAAATTCGCAATAAATTGACAAGGAATGTATAACATTTATAATTAATCAGCCTATGTAGTGGCGCAGCTGTAGCGCTTCACCCAGCAGCAGCCGTCAACACAATGTGCGGGCGGGGCGGCCGTGATTATGAGTACTTTTTTCTTTTATTTCTTCTTATAGGGGCACTGGAAACTAGTCTATGGTCTAAACAAGGTTAACTTTGTGCCTAAAAGTCAATAGCTATCCCTATCTGAAAGTCTGAAAAGCTGCAAACCTGTAAAAGTGGTAAAGGGAAAGCGTAAATTCCGATTTTGAATACTGCGACATCCGCGCTATTAGCGTAGGAATAAAAAATTACACGTCATGCGCGTATTGGATGTGACACTAGGATTTATGAATGGTTGCACGGTTCGTGAATGGTTGTAAGGTTTCTGAATCGTTGTAAGGTTTATGGATGGTTGTCAGATTCGTAAATGGTTATCAGGTTCATTATTGATTTCAATGTTCACGAATGGCTACAGGTTTCGGTTTTGATATTCAAAATCACGTAAAATTCCGAATAATTGTCCGAGACGTTAACTTGTTGTTGTTTACTTGCATCATTAGACTTTAACTAAATGATGATTTCGGAATAAATTTAGCGCAAATACTTTTTATGTATTCTTATTTTAATTTGAAGTAACATCTTTGTATTATTTTAGATCAAATGTTTCTTAGTAATTTGCCTCACAATCTCTAGAAAAGCCTCTAGTTCAACTCGGCTAACTATTGTGACACCAATTTGGTTTGTAAGGCCATCAATACAAAAGGCAGTTATTTCTCACATTCCAACGTAATGAACTAATTTAAAGTAATAACTTTATGGCCAACAAAGAAAGCATATCATTTGCGATTTACATTTATTTTCCAAAATACACAATCGATAGGTTTATAATTCTCGCTTCTTACTAAAGTGGAGGTTATATTTACTATGTACTAACTAAAACTCTCCAATATAGCTAAAATAAAGAAATGACAAACTAATACAACCTAATAATACTAAAAATTGTAAGGAATTCAGTGTCTGTATATAAGCTGACTTATATTCGTTCGCGCATTTCGTGAAAGTGTAAAGACGGTCTTTGATACTGAAGCTTGAGGAGCTTATTCATGCCAGTAACGACTCTGAATTGTTATGTAAATGTTTTTTAAGTTTTATTTAAAACTTTTACTCATTTTACGCGGATTCGAGAATTCTTACAAATATATTGGCGGCGAACCGTTTGTGTTCAAATTCAAGAGACAAATTAGTGTTAAGAAAAAATTCTGATGTCATCTGGCGTCTCTTAAGCATCAATTATTTTCAAATTGAGACTCACGTTGACAAAAAATATAAAAAAGATAACTTCAAACTTTGAAAACCACTTTGTTCAAACATAACCGGCTTTTGTTCTCTGTGGTCTTAGGGCAAAGCATGAGTGTTTGTATAGATATCAGCCGTTGGTCTATTCTCTGGGGTATAAGTATAAGTCTTTGTATAGACACCAGTCGTGGGTCTATTCTCTTGGATCTTATATCAAAGTAGAAATCTTTGTATAGATATCAGCCGTTTGTCTATTCTCTGCGGTCTTTTATCAAAGTATAAGTCTTTAATTGTCTAGATATCAGTCATTGGTCTATTCACTGGTGCCGTACAGCGAAGAGGACATTTTTTAAAAGGAAATAATTCATAAGAGTTTATAACGATTAGAAACAGCAATGGGATTCTACTCGGGATTCAAGAATAGCGATGACTAAGTTTCCACGCAAATTTATAATGACCATGGCGCTTCTTCATTTTATATAACATTGACCAGAAATTACTCTTTGGTGATATTAATCTCAAAACCGTTGTTATTCTACCTATATTCAAAATCTGCGTATCATTTCTTTCTGTTTACAGTGTTTATACTATTCACATCTTTCTCCTAAATTCTACACAAGTAATGTTGGTTTTGTAATACTACAAAAGTAATACTAAACTTGTAATATCACACAAGTAATACTAAACTTATAATACCATACAAGTAATACTCTATTTGTAGTACCGCACAAGTAATACTCAACTTGTAATACCACACAAGTAATACTAAATATCTAACAACACACAATTAATACTCAAATTATAATACCACGCAGGTAAAACTCACATTTTACTGCAATACAAGCTATAATAAACTTTTTATACCACATAAGTAATTCTAAAATTCTAATATTGCACAAATAATACAACACTAGTGATATTAATATAATAATAATGCGCATTAAATACAAAAATAGCAATAATTTGCATGTAAGACGTAACTATTATGATACTCCACTAATACTCTTCTAATATATATATATATATATATAAAGATGAAACTCGTCCATTCAGTGTTAAGTGATAGGAGCCTGTATGAATTTCATGTTACAAAGGTTAATCATATTCAAATTTTACCAGGTGATTTTTCACACAAGAATTACCCCTTATTACGGGAATTTAAACGAAAACTTTCTGCATATAAGTTTGAATTTCAGTAAATTTCCGTGCATCCGTGCATTTCCGTATATTTCCCAATATTTTTCTTCCGTATTTAAATACACAATTTTTCTGCGAAACCATCGCAGCAATTTTTTTATTGTATAATGTACTCGGAATTCTCACACTTCTCGTATAATAAAGACAATTGTGCATTGTTTATGCAACCAGTAATGATCTCAGAGACTATAGGTGCTTATGGAATATATTACATACATTTAACTTAAATTAACGTTCCGTAACTCATTTTGAAACAGAAATACGACCATCGTAAATGCTGACGCTAGTTACGTTGTGCTGCAAACGTCATAGTTGCAGCATCGCTGGCTCAGCGGTGCGTTAGAAAGCCATGAGGTTCGTTGGACGTTTTCCGTTACGAAAAAAAAACACATTTCGCCGTAACGCAAGGACGCATTTCGTAACTTTGCACTGAAAGCGAATGTTCCGTGTCTGGATAAACATTAAATTTTAGTGCAGTAATACTATGTAATTACTACGGAAGAATCACGAGTTAGCGTGGCATTAGAATAATATATTATTTTAATAATAATTTTAATTATAATAATAGCTTATAATAATGGTCGAATAATTTATAGGCCGCTCCAATCTTTTAATTAATTTGTTTGTGAAGCGTCAAGCAAACTACGAAATAAATAGTGAAAACGTCCGTTGTATACGTGGTTAGTGCACATTTTCAACGAATAAAAATTTAGTAAAAAGAGCAGCCATACCTGCAAATAATAAACTTAACAACGATAACGCATATTGAACAAACAAAAAATGCAAAACATTTATTAATGCAAAAAGTTATGTATACTTTCGAGTGCTATAGATTAATTAAATACGTTCGCAGAAATAGCACCTATGAGGGTTGTAGCCCAGAGGTAATACGCATATACGAAATAAATCCAGATTCATAAATAATGTCACAAATACGAGCAGTAAAAATGGGGAAATAACGTCGTACAAATGCATTGAACAGAATACGTATTTACAGCAAATTGCGTAATGCTACGATCCGAAGGCATTTACTATAAAACACATTTATGAGAGTTTTACAAATACACTACACATGATGCTCGCTCGATAATAACATATAAAATAAAAATAACGTACTAGCAGGAGGCAACGGCTTTAGTTTCATAGCAGTAACTTGCATTGATGCTAATATCGCGAAGGTAATACATAAGATCAACGCAACGTCGGTCAGTAGCGCGTTAGATGCGGACCGAGAAACCGCTGAAGCGTCAAAAACGATCGCTTCTGCGAATCATAGAAAGTAAAAGTGGGGGAGGTTCACCAATGGCACGTAGCGAGCATTCGCTCTGCTTTCTATCCACTTTGAAATGATGAACAAGACGCTGGGATTGTGACACAAACTGTCGCATCCTCTGAAACAATATCGAGTGATAGTGAGTTCTGCTGAACATCTATTTTAATGATCAATTTTGTGATTGTTTGGAAGAGTCTATTAGTTCGTATCATTGAAGGGCGATGTTGAAGGTATTTAATTGTTATATGGTACTTCATTGCGAGGTATCACTAGTTGATGAGTTGATGAACAACATTATCGTTGATGAACAACGATAATTCGGGGAAATGGCATCTCAAAATAAAATATTTCACATGATTAATAATAATAACCGCGCGGACTCATCGCCGATTCTGACCAGAAACTGGCGCATAGAGCCAGTTGTGATTAAGATTGTCAAGTGGTAATCTTGTCTTGGTAATCACAAGAAGCGATTACCAAGAATTAATGCGTTCATTAACACGCTTTTAATAATTTCAAAATTATCTTATTATAACTTTGTTACGTTTTGCTTGCGCAGGGTGGGAAAAACTTGACAGCCCCACAATTACTCATTTGGAACAACTTTTATGAATAAAAAGAAAACGGAAAAGTTTATAAAATCACAGATACATAACGCGTGAAACTATCTACTTCTAATTATTGGGCCTGTAATATCAAATCTTTATTTGTGAACTTAAGCGAATTGTGGTATTACGGCCCTTGGTCCTTAAGCTTGTAGGATGATAGCTATATTACCACTTAGTTCTTGATACGAACAAAATTCAATTTTTATTCTTTTCCACTTTAGGATGGAGATAGCGCACTGGCTCCTGGTCTTGGTGGTTATAACAGCCACCACGGCTGAAGGATATCCACAAACACAACCTCAGCCCCGGCAGATGTTCAGAGATGAGGGTGGACAGTTCCTACCGAGGAGGCCTTCCCTGAAGGAGCTACGCGAACGGCGGGAAAAGACTGCAGGGATACCGCATGGGTCCGAACAATCTTCCGATACACCATCGGATGAAACGCATCCACCCATTGAAGACTCAAACGATTCCAATTTACAGAAAAGTAAGAGGACAGAATCTTTCCCACAGGAGCAACTCGACGATCATTTCCCCGTCAATGAAGAGCGGGAAAATTCGGATCATCCATTTGGTCCAGGAGATTTTTCCGCACCCAATCACGATTTCCCTTCAAGAAAAGGACCTCAAAGGGCCAATGGAAATGATGATGGAGGGTTTGACTTCGAAGAAAACACCGACCATCTTCCAGAGTACATCAAAGACCAGGAAGAACACAACACCGATGATCACCCACATCCAAATTTTCGCCATGAACGACAAGACCCTGAAACCAGATCTCCTGCACACAGATATCCTGATGAGGAAACTACAGCTACCAGCCCTAATGAAGAACAATTACAGACTTCCGCTACCACCGGAGAATCTCACGTGACTTCAGTCCCGACTGATCGTGAAGATTTCAATCCTTTTGCGCTCTTCAATTCAGACAACCCGAACGAGGCTTCGGATGATCCAGCCCCGAGGGAAGCTCCGGAGGAGGAGAAACGCTCTGCATTGAAGTCCAGACAGGAGTTGGGATCACAGCAAGGCAAGAAAAGAATACGCGTACGCACTCCAGCACAGGAAAGAAATTTCGAAACTCGGCAAACGACTCGCGGCGTCGACACCGGACCAGGATCGTTCAACCCGCGGTTCCCGTCTCGTCATGCCGCCCGCCAGCAGACAAGTCAGCCTCTGGTGAGTACCCGCCCTGATCTTGAATAAGTTATGCAGGTAAAGATAGAAATCTTCGGATGCCTGCGACATTAATGATAAAACTCTACGAAAGAAAACCTGATGAAATTTAATTAGCATCTGATTGTTATTGATTACATCACATTGACCGTTTCAATTGTGAGAATGGTAGCATTTTTGTATACGAAAATACCAAAATAACATTAATTTTACAAATTCAAATGAGTAAGGATGTTGATTGCAAATCGCTTATGTTGATTGCAGATCTCAAACAGTAAAAACTCTTTCAATTTAACTGCAGACACAAATGTTTTACTGACATGTTATTCAACGCATGTAAACAAATCATAAGTTCAACAGACTACATCTCTTTTGATTTGCATGCAACACGTCGCTTTCCTGTTCGTTGCGTGTGTGCATGCATTATAGATACGACGTAAGTTGTTCCTGTATGAGCATCAGACGCTGCTTGTGACTTGGGATTCAGTGAAGTATAACATCATGTACGCTTCACGATGAGAGTTACTGCATTGTAAAACTTAATGCAGATCATTTGAGTTATTTACGACGCAATAACAAGTTGATCTCGAGAAATATCATAAGTGGTTAAATAAAAAAATTGGTTAATTAATTGAGTTAATTTATGCATTATGAAAGCATAATAAGACCGGTTCCAAGTTAATTTTTAGGCATTATGAAAAATCGGATCTCATGGAAAGTGAAAGTTAGTAGAGAACTGGGTACAATTTGCAAAAAAATAGCATTTCCTTCAATGATTTCATAGATCATATACATTACTTTCCTGAATTACCGCTAATTTTGGAAATTCATTGAGAACGTTTACAAGCAATCAGATTCAATTCGGTGGTATGAAATCCCAACAATAAAATACATCGCGAGAAATTCTTTAATGCGACCCAAAACTTTAATCATTCTTCACTGATACCCTGATTTTCTCACAAAACTCAACGTCTCGAATTCTTTAATGCGACCCAAAACTTTAATCATTCATCACTGATACCAAGATTTCCTTATCAAACTCAACGTCTCGTTCCCCCACATCACCCCTCCTCGGGATGGCCGCATTGCACATGTTCCTTTAGAAAGACTTTCTCACAGCATATGGTGCTCTTTTACTGTGGAAAATAACACAGATTTTTTGTTTATCACGTCAGGCGAAACGATTTTCTCACTTTCTTCTGAAGGTGATTCTTCTTCTCCTTTTCATCTGATAGCCACTCACTTTCTCTGCGTGGTTCTGGTCTCATACAAGGGACATCTTATTTCTTCAAACGTTCGATAAATTATGGACCGACATGACAAGGCTTTCAGCAAGAGAACAATTTCATAAACAATTTAGCTATACAAACAATACAACAAATAAATACTATCCATGCTTCTTAATTTACCTGATTACTGTTAGAAACATATTAACATACCTCAATAACATACCTCGAACCTCATAGAATTTCTGTAATTAACATTCAATTCATTAAAATAAAGAAAAAGTCATTCACGTCAGGCGCACCCTGGGTTTAACAAAGGCTTAGTAGAATTAATAGAAATGTAATATAAGTTGAACATTAACAAGATTATGGATAAAGAAATTTGAACTCACTTTTAACACGTTAAATTGTGTTCTTGAACTTAAACCTCTTTTCAAAAAGCAGCAAAGAGAATTTATTGTACAAGTTTCTATAACCTGCCAAGCGATGCTAATGCTCATCAGCAGCTAAATCAACTAAAGTGCATTACGGTTAATGGGGTCGCATGGGAACCAAATCGTTGGTTCCCATGCGAAGATGAAGTCTATGGAGATGAAGTCATTAGAGATGAAGTCTTTAGAGATGAAGTCGTTAGAGATGAAGTCTTTGGAGATGAAGTCTTAGGAGGTGAAGTCGTTAGAGATGAAGTCTTTGGAGATGAAGTCTTTAGAGATGAAGCCTTTGGAGATGAAGTCTTCAGAGATGAAGTCTTTGGAGATGAAGTCTTTAGAGATGAAGTCTTTAGAGATGAAGTCTTTGGAATTTAAGTGACAGGAACTGAAGGCGTCAGAGATGAAGTCGTTAAGATTAAGTTGTAGGAGATTGGGTGCTTGGAGATCATTGTGCTGGAGATCAGGGAGTCAGAGATAGAATCGTTAATAATCAAGTCGTTGGAGCTGAAGTCATGAGCGCAGCAGGTCTGGAATTAACAGAGCGTATTAACTATGACATGAACGCAAGTCATTCTGAGCACTGCGTGCGTCCGAACATAGCGTAGATACGAGGGGACGTGAAGGTAAGTAAATCCTCATGCAATGTATAGTTCACTCGTTGTTCTTTAATAGTACTAATATTGCAGAGAATTTGGCCGTACGAAGGTTTAAATTGAAATTAATTTTTTATTGTAGATATATTTATGATATCTCGTAATTTAATATTTCTTAAAATCTTTTTTGTTGGACGATAATATAGTATACAAAATTGAATCATGATATGACGGTTTGTGATGATTGAAAAGCTAATGAGGAACGTAAAAATGAAAGCAAAATTAATGAATCCTTTTAAATTTACATAAATAAATGAACATTTAATTGGAATTACGTATATGAACTATAACTCTTCTTCACGCCCATTTATGTAGTGCTATTAAAACTCAAAAGATATTTCTAGTTGATTATTATCAAAGAAATGTGAATGTCAGCGGAAGATTAATGCAGACCATTACAATAAAACCAAAATTGTGCTCAGGGCGATTAAATAAAATTTCAACAACTTTCTGCACTAGAAATCATGCGAACTCTCAGGCTTTACTACTATCAAAAAATTGCAACATAACTCAACCAACTCAAGCTTTAAAAAACACACTATTTTGTAGGCAGTATTTATCTCACTTATTAATTTTTGATCATTTTAACAATTCTATAGGCGAATGAGAGGATCTATTCTGAAAATCATCAAAAAGCAGGCAAAATATTGCTCGAAATCATGGGTCAAAGGCTACCAAGCATGTCCGCTTCGATCAGCAAATCATCTTACACACTAAAAGCAGGAACCACAACAAGGAAATAACTGAAGCAAGCATAAGCAATTAGCGTTCAGCAAGCACTTCCTACTACTTGAACTTGTGCAGACATAGAAAGCGCTTCTCATAGCAGACCAGGAAGCGTGGCGGTGAAAGCCTGGCTACGTTCGGCAGATGCTCGACTACTCCTGAGAAAGTTATTTTTTACACTTCCTTGAGGCGAATATAAATCATTTATTAATGTACTGCAAGTGAAAAGAAGCCATTTTATATGGGAAAGATCGAGGTATTAATGATACATCCCATAGTTTTTTCAATGAGGGGTTAATGATTCGTTAACAGGGATACGGTTAAATAATCAATTAAAACTATTAAAGTAAGTAAACTATTATCATTTTGATGAGGCAAATGACCACTTTTTCTTCACCAGCTCTCACATCTAATCGAACTTCTGCCTAGTCCGTTGCGAACGCTGGTGTAGTTACTATTAATTAATAGGAATCTGTTTCCGCACACGTTTTTCTGATTCGGATCAACAACGGATAACTTTACTATGTATATCCTGTTCCACAGTTACAGAACGTGAACCTCTTATCACGTGATCCTTACCATGACGAACAACTGCAACAACGGCAACAATATCAGGCACAGCAGCAACAGCAGCAGCAATATCAGCAACCACAGCAACATCAGCAACAACAGAGACTGCGAAGGCCAACTCAGCAGCATCTTCCACATCAGGTAAAGCGTGGCTATAACGGTAAATTTCACTGACAGATAAGCTATAACGGTAAATTTCATTGACAGATAAGCTATAACGGTAAATTTCACTGACAGATAAGCTATAACGGTAAATTTTACTGACAGATAAGCTATAACGGTAAATTTCACTGACAGATAAGCTATAACGGTAAATTTCACTGACAAATAAGCTATAACGGTAAATTTCACTAACTGACAAGATATAACGGTAAATTTCACTGACAGATAAGCTCTAACGGTAAATTTCACTGACAGATAAGTTATTATACGGTAAATTTCACTGACAGATAAGCTATAATGTTAAATTTCACTAACGGACAAGTTATAATGGTAAATTTCACTAACAGACAAGTTATAAGGGTAAATTTCACTAACCGACAAGTTCTAACCGTAAATTTCACTAACAGATAAGTTATAGCGGAAAATTTTAATAACGGACAATTTATGACGGTAAATTTCGCTAACGGACAAGTTATAACGGTAAATTTCAATAACGGACAAGTTATAACAGTAAATTTCACTAACAGGTTAGTTATAACGGTAAATTTCACTACCTGGCAAGTTATAACGGTAAATTTCACAAACGGGCATTGTTATAACGATAAGTTTCACTAGCAGACAAGTTATAACAGTAAATTTCACTAGCGGACAAGTTATAACGGTAAATTTCACTAACGGACAAGTTATAACGGTAAATTTCCCTAACGGGCAAGTTATAACGGTAAATTTAACTTACGGACAAGTTATAACGGTAAATTTCACTAACGGGTAAGTTATAACGGTAAATTTCTCTAACGGACAAGTAATAACCTAAATTTCACGAACTGACAAGCTATAACTGGAAATTGAAATTAACGGACAGACTATAACGGGAAATTAGATTAACAGGCAAGCTATAGCGGGAAATTCATTTATAGTGGACAAATTATAACGGCATAGATAACTAACGGAAAGCTATAACGGGAAATACAACTAACGGACATGTTATAACGGTAAATTTACTAACCGATGGCGCTAATAAAATAAATCGTAAAATGATCGAAGGTCTTTTTTGGCCATAAATAATGCAAATAAAATAAAATCAATGTTTCTAAGAGATTTCCACAGATTAATAACCATGGAATAGATTTGTAATGTTGAAGTCTGCAATATAAATGTGCATAAATTAATATCGAAATACAAAATTTTTCGTGCCGACAATGGTCTAAAGATGAAAAATTCATGAGCTAATGAGCTCGATGATTTTAGAAACTGATTAGTTTAATTATCAAGTGTTTTTCTTTACCAATTAAAAGTTTTGTAAATTATGAATATGCATATGCACAAATAATTAGCATGAATTAAGAATTTAATAATAACGTATATAACATTAATAAAATAATTCAGTATTAAAATAATATAGTAATAGATATATAATAATAAAATGGTATATAGTATAGACACATAGAAATAAATAATAGTAATAAAATAGTAGTTATATAGTGATTAATAACAAGTTAATAATGAGCATGTAATTACACAGGAGATCTCAAACGACGTGGTCAACAACCCGGACTATCCTGACTACGAAGATGATGAAGCAAAACCCGACAGACTCGCGGAACTTTTGCTGCAGTCCAAATTCTCGTGTAAGTCCCGCAAGGACGGATACTACGCCGATGAGGATGTCAACTGTGAGGTCTTCCACTTCTGCCAAGATGGTGTCAAGCATTCGTGGCTGTGTCCAAACAACGCTGCATTCCATCAGGTCAGTTGGGGTACTGAAACATTCAGCAATTTTGATACAGGTTTTTGAAACTTGAAGAAATAATAAGACGGGTAACTTGGTTTTTATTTAATTGAGTTGTGCAAGCTACATAGACGTTGCTAAATAGTTTGAAAAAGGCAGTTTCCTTAAGCTAAGCTTATATGTGGGTTATGGGGGATCATTTGGTTAAATTATATGTACATTTTCATGCTGTATGCATTCACATTGTAAGAGATCAAACGCTGCCAGCGATGGCCCTAAACAATTTTAAAATAGCGGCAGCTGAGATTTTGCTAAATTAAATGGTGTTTATCCGTCTTAAAATTGTCATGTCGGTTTACTTGACTTTCTTCATACCATTTATAAATACTTGGTAAAGATTATTCTTCTAACAGGAATTTTATCCAACAAACTGAGGTGAATAATCACCCGACTGCATTATGCATTTTAACATCGTGACAAACATTGCGAAATAAACCACTTGTAATCTGAATATAAATGAATATTTTCGTGTTAACCTCTTTTCGTTTCAGGTGCATCTGATTTGCATGCCCCACTCAGAAGACAACATCTGCGAACGCTCATCGAAATTCCATTTCGTGAACGACTTCCTTTACAAAGAAGTTGGAGATCACCCAGAGAACAGAAGCTACGTTGAGCGTTACTACCCCCAAGGTTTCGAAGGAGGAGTAGCTAATATTCCTGACCGAGAGGGGTCAGTCCCCCCACAAGCTGCACAACCCCCCAAATATCACCGACCTGCTGATGAGAGACCTGCTCCTCCGCCCGATTACAACCGCAGACATCCTCAGGCTCCAAGGGAAATTCAGTCAATCGAGCAGCAAAAACAAGAATTCGAGCGCAGACACATCGGGCGACAGAGGCATGGGAATCAGCAGGAGCAGCGGGAGCACGAGCTTCGTCCTGTCGTAGAAGGAAGTGTTAATCAGCAGGCTTATTTTCCACAAGCTATGAAGAACCCATTTTCCGAAGAGAAAAAGAAGTTTCAAGCAGGTATTGGCAATAAAAAACTCGCGTTAGATCAGCCCAAGTTTGAATCGGAGAGGCCAAGACCAATCAAGCAGCGACCTGAGTTCGATGATGCTGGGCAACATCAACAACCTGATTTCCCCCATCCGCAGTCTGCGGCCAGTCCCTTGAACCCTCATCAGCAATTGAACCATCATCAGCAACAACAATTTAATCGTCCACACCATCTCCCTGCCGTAGTCCATCTTCAACCTGAATTCTTAAATCCCCAGACTGAACGTCATCGGCAACAACAGACTCGGGTTGAACGACCACAAATCAATCACGTGCAACCTGAATCTTTTCATTCGATCGTCGGGTCAGATCCAGTTTTCGAATCGCAGGATGTAGGCCATAGTGACTCTTTCAAGCCTCGTCGTCCTTTGCTAAATCAGTCACCCCGCCAGGGAGAGATCCTTGAGCATCCGTCGTCTCATGTGCAGCACCACCAAGGTCGTCCACCCCCGCAAGAACACCAGTTTCCCCATGAAAGAGAACATCTTCCCAACGGACCCAATCAATTCCGACAAAACCGTCCTTCGTTCGTACCTCACGAGCCCCCAGTTTATCATAGTCAACAACAACCGTTCTTTGGTCAGTCCGGAAACGGAAGAAATATTCATGAAGCTTCGTCTGTGAAACGGCAACAAATTGCACATCCTGATGGCAGGAGACCGGTGAAGAAGCGTGAAGGTCCATCCGGTCCTTTGTCTTTTCTTGGTTAAACTTTAAACGAAATAGTTTTTCTGATATCCCAAATCCATGGATAATCAGTGCCTAATTGTCAGCGTTGTTTGTGGTCGGAAGCGCTAATTCTTGAAAAGTTGAATCGCTTGTATAATATTGCTGTCTTGCATTAGTGAAACGTGCATTTCTAGACATTTATGAGGGTCTACAGCAAAGATAAGTGTTATAAGCTATGGGATTATTTGAATATTCGAAACGATTCAATTTTCAATTAAGAAAATATGAATCATTTTAAATCTACAAAGAATTCTTAATGAATGAAAAAGTACTAAATATACATGTATTATTATTTCTAATAAGATATTATCTTAGCCGTCATAATTTTATTTAAAAGAATGTTTTAGAAAAGAATTAAATTATCTCAAACCGCTTGTTTAACATTTAGGTTTTTACCTATTGTCAGTATTATACTCTTAATAGGCAGTTCATGAATCATTTCCTACAATCCAATTTACTATTTATATTGATAATTATTATCCCAACGAATCTCCCTGTTTTCCCTCTCACTTTCATTTTGCCTAACAATTATTACAATGTGACAGTAATAGATCGCTTGGCCCGTCTATTACATTTCTACGGACGTTGTTTTTGAAGTTGCCTTCTTTCTTCTCATTCCTAGTTCAAACGGTACATAAATTTTTGAACATGTAAATTTCATTCATTCTCGCAAATTTTAATTCCAAAATTACGTATTTCAGAATTAATTATTGCAAATATTTCAATTCCAACATGTCAATCTTCCTGTACGCTGATGGCGGAGGCATTACAGAAGGCCAATGGGAAACTTCCAGGTTTCCTGAACTTTTAATTCCTACACATTCAATGGTAATAAGGTGAAGTAAAACTTAAGTATATTTTTAGTGATCTCGATAGGACTCTGAAACTTTTTCAAAATTAATAATAAATACACTATTTATATTCTCTTCTATACATGTTTGTACTTAGCTTTCCAGTTCCAATTATCTTGTTTCTAAGATCGTATTTGTATTACAATTGAAGAATATATGTGACATTTGGACGTATTTAATAAATTTGATTGAGTTGAACATCTCTTGCTTCCTTTGAATCTACGCTAATTGGCTTTTATTTATTCAAAACACAACCTTAATGAATAGTTTTTCAGTGCCTTTTTTGATGACTTCTTCGTTCGAGTTGAAAATTACACCGGCTTTTCAATTCAAAGTTAGAACCCTCGACCGTTCCTGTCATTTACTGTAGAATTCGTTTCCTTCTTCTTGTTTGTTATTGCCCTATGATTTGGCGCTAAAAATATAATGTTTTCAGTAGTAACTTGTTTTTCAACAAATTAAAAAATAACACTAAGTCAAGGACTGTTAGTATGATGGCACTATGCATGGAAAAAAATTGTGAACAAATATCATTTATGTAGAAGACATGCAGTGCAATCGATTCATCCTCGGACACCGGAGGGAAAAAGCAAATCCGATTCATGGGAAGGATTCGTCCTATTAAGAATATGATTCATGATCATTTCTTTGACCGTTAATTTGTAGCCTGGCAACATATTTATCATACATCGAAAATTTCAATGCGTTTATCTCCTACGCGTTGGAAACGGTGAATTTTCACCTTTACGTTCGGTAGATAATTCCGCTGGAAAGACACCATATGTCTCCAGCACGCCGAAATAGCATTTCGCTATTCGCTTCTAGGCTTTAGCTCCAGGTATAATTATATCTAATTTATTGCACAGCCGTGTAGAATATTGCGCACGATATAGCGGTTTCAGCGTTTATTAGACCGTAGGCCTGTCACCGATTCATAACATTGCAGAACATCCACAGCTTGTTGCGGGCTTGAACTCGCAACTCACTGCTTCAAATTTTTTTTGCTTAACCGCGCGGTCTTCTTGCCGATTTTGACCAGAAACTGGCGCACAGAGCTGGGATCGAACTCGCACCTCTCTGCTCCAATCTTAATTAATCGGTACTCTGAAGTGTAACCACTGGGCCACCCTGCCATGCTCAATTAAAGTGAGCCTTTGCTTGGCAGGTTCTGAGAGCATGAGTTGCAAGACGAAGCTTCGAACTTGTGAATAGATAGGTATTTCTTTATTATTCTGCCCGTTGCCTGCAAATTTAGGTTTTAACTTCTGTTGTTGTTTTTTCTTATGACTCCAAACTTTATTAATTTTCTGACTGTATTTGTGTTCTAGATTTATCAAACTGACGATGGAGCTGCATGGTCTCCGAAACGTTTTCAATAGAGAAATGCTGAATCTTTGTGGAGTTTTCTTCGCCTTTAAATTTCTAGTGAATCTGCAATTCAAGCAATCTAGTGACATTATTACTAGTACTCACGATACACCGGTTACCGGGAAAAAAACGCAAGTATGTGATTTAAAGGCAATCCAAATTTTTAACGGTTTTTCGAATAAATTTTTTTCCCGGCTCAAGTAGCGGATTTTGGTTGTTGATTTTAATTCATACTCTGAAGTTAAGACATTTCGGTTCATTTACTAGGAGGGAAGTTTTGCTTTCACCAAATTATATGCAAGTGTTTCCAATAAAATACAAAGTATATAGCACGAGATGGGAGCCGGAACATTATAATTAAACTTCATGCATTTTTTTATTAGGATTCATTTCGAGAGATTTATGAATGCACCAGAAAATATTGTCATCAGAAGTTAATATGTGCACTAATATATATTAGTTTTAGATGGCAGAACTGGTTGATTTATACGCGTGCGATTAGCGGCCAAAGAATTCGTTGATTTAAATCACCAGTGGCCTCATCTTTTCTTCTTTAATTGGAATTTATGGGAGCCTCTGAAGACTGGTTCCATGCGGCCCCATGTCAGAACAGTCGAAGGAACTTGACTGAATTATGTTTTCTTGTACAAAATTGGGTGCATTGATAGAAAAAATAACTCAAGATTTCTCAATGGCTGAAGGGTTGCAGAACGGGGCCACCAAAGTGAAGACCAGAAATTTGGCAACTTCAGGGGAGCACAAAAATAACGAATTTGGCAACTTCAGGGGAGCAGAACTTCAGGAGTTAAACTTCACTTTAGCTGGTCGCACCATGGCATCCGCCGGCTCAACGCCTCGGAGCGGGACAGTACGGCATTTTCAAAGTTCAAAAAAGATACTAGATAGTTCTAGAGAATATGACGTAGCAGCCGGCCGAAGCCGGCTACTGTCACGGGAGCTTAGCACAAGGAACCTCTTGCCTCAACGGTTAGACCAGTGGCCTCATCGTCTCTGCCGATTGGACGCCTACTATCTGTTTCTTAACTACCGGATTTGGCTGAAATTTGAAATGGTTTTCAGAACGATTTTTCAGATTCAAAATTTTAATTTAGTATCCTATTTACGTATATTATGTACTTATTTCCACCAAAATTTCAATATTTAATGCTTCTTGTAACTTGAAAATGAATCTTTGTTACTTTCGAAACGTCGTTGATAAACTAAAACTACTTCCTGATACATGCCTTTTGATCTACCAAAGTCTTCTGAAGAATTGTCCGACTCTTTGATAATTTAAATCAACGAATTCTCTGGTCATTAATCACACGCGTATAATATATATTAGTACATATATTAAGGACATGATTGTTACTAGTACTGCGCGGTTTTGCTCTATTGAATTGTGAGCAGAACGAAGTTAATTGTGAAGGTAACTGTAAATTACCACTACAAAAAAGCAGCAGCAGTTGGCTGTTCACTGAGGACACGAGTGACTGCGAATGTACCTTCTTAATTGATGGTACCTGCCTGACATATTAATGAAAAAATACAATTATACATATGATTATAATTATTGAATTACAGGATATCGAAGCGTGGGTTTCAGGACACCCCTGACTTCAATTAATCACGATATACTGCATCGATTCATCGATTCATTTGTTCGTTAATATGCACATTAACATATCTTTGAACTCTTTACCGATATTTATCAATTACCATTAACAAGTTCCTTAAAACAAACATTTTTTTCATGAAATCTTTCCCAATACGGCCTTTGAGAGTCTCAAAAGCTTGATTTTTTTTTCTCCGTCTCGCTAGGATCGGAAATGTCTTTGCTAGTCGGTCTATCAACAAAATATTGAGAAGGTTTCACGCGCACAATTCTGCACATTACTCTGATGTTAATTTATTACTTAGCACTAAATTCTACAAGTAATTCAAATAAGAATTAGAAATTAGGAGCGTCATTCTGCTAATTTCAATTAATAAAAAAACTTCAGAATAAAATTAAACGTCTGAATTTTCATTCTGACAGACATTAAGAATGTTAACTGAAAAGTAAGAACTTTTATCCGGATAGACATTAATTTACGCTTCTTTCTTAAAATTTATTGTGAAAATAAAACGTTAAAGTTTTTTCTTCGCTTAAGGCTAAATCACGACCCAAGTGAGAAGGAAATTATTTATTCTTGATAATTGGTACTATTGAAATCCGGCCTGAGAAGCTGCTCCCTCAATTGAAGTGAGATCGATGGTCGTTACATCGTAAATCAAAGTATGAATATAAATAATCATGACAAGATATTGGAGGCGCTTTTCACTCGCCAAATGAAGGCCAATCTGCCTTAACAGCATATGTGATAAATGACCAACGCTTTGTGACCCTTGAACGTTAACCGATTTACTTTACAAGCCATGTGAGAAGCTAACGTCTGTGACCCATGAACGGTGATTGATTGACTTTTCAAACCTTATGTAAGGCTATCGTCTGCTTTTCTCATCAAATTTAATTCCCGAAACATTGCCCTCTCTATGAAACATGACCCTCTATCTCTCCTGTGAGAGAAAAAATAAATACGTTACTACATGATGATAAAAAGCTCATGTTCTGTAACGCTAAGCTTACAGCCAGCGAATTTGCAACTAGAAAGCTATGGGTAGTAAAATTGCTCACATAAAACAGATATAATTTGGAAACAATGACTAATATCGGCCGGTGATAATATAACTTGTTTTATTTCGATATAGAAAAAATAAAAAGAGGAGCCAATAAAACTGCCATATTTACATGACGTGAAAGGCTTTCCTGATGAATCGCTTATGAGTTCTTATAGCGTAGCACTAAAATCTTTGTTGTAAAGAGCAAAAATCATTACAATGAGGCTCTAAACCACTTGTGTATCACTTAAACCATTGAAACACAAGTGATACACCATTGTGTATCCTTTAAACCTTTAATTTGTAATGCCAATTCTCATAATTTGCAGCGTTGAAACTCTTTATTTGCAGCGTTGAAATTCTTATTGT